ATACGGTTGGCTTTCTGGGCTGGCACGATCTGCATTTCTGCTCTAATATAAGACAACCTGTGTAATCTGCCTTCCTGTGGTAGCATAGCTCCCCATTACCATGCTACATTGAGAGCTGGTGGTATCTTCCTTGTGTGATCAGCCCTAGGGGCAGTTTTCTGGCCATTAAACCCCAGTACTTGGAACTTCCTACTGATTTTTCTGTCCTCAATCAACCAGCTCTTTCTCTGCAGAGGGCTGGCAGAGATAAGGGGTGTTCCTGTGGGTGCACAGTCTGTGCAAGGGCTGAAGTCAAGCCTTCTCACGTGTTTCCCACTTCTCTTTCAGAGTGCAGGTCAGAGACCGAGAGATGAAGGTGAACATCTTTGACATGGCGGGGCACCCGTTCTTCTACGAGGTAAGGCAGACCCGACTCGGAAGCGCTGGGCACCCATCAGCTTTCCTCAGGTCTGCCTGAAATAGGGATTGGGGCTGGGAAACTTGGAAATACATTTCTTAGGAGCTTCCTCCACTGCAGCACACCCACTGCACAAACACCTAATGCAGGCCAGCACCGGAAAACCCCGCTCTCTCTCTGTGCAAGACGTGTGTATGAACACACGTGGTTGGCTGTGGGGATCAGCACAGACAGAAACAGCCAGCGCCATCCCAGGCAGCACTGGTGGCCTCATCCCAGTGTCTCTGGCTGATCAGAAGGAAAACGGAGTTATTAAAATTGGGATCTATAACCCCACAAAAAACTCTGAGAGAAAGAATCACCCAACAGGTTTCTTATAAACAGCGAGTGTGAGGTTTGGCTGTGCTACCACTCATGTTGTCCTATTCCAAAGCGGCTCCCTGTCCTTGTGAATCTGCCTACCTTGAGGTTAAATTTACTCAGACTGGGTGATCTTTGGAGCTGACCTTGGGCATTTCTACTATACTGCCATCCTAATCCACAACCACAGTGCTGTAAAACACTGGCAGTTGGACTAGATGATCGTTGTAGGTCCCTTCCAACTGAAATACTCCGTTTCCTTTTAAAATTGTTTGCTATGCAAATAATAAACAGGACTGTTTACAAAAAGGAGCTTGCAGGGTAAAGCTTCAGGATTTGAACACCTGGACTACAACATCCCTTTTGGAGAGCTGGCAGAAAGGAGTGATTGTGCTCACTGCTACTCACATTTATTTTAAATTATAAACAAAGTAATAAAGTTGACCCAGAAGTGGAAGAGAGGGATGTTAAATGTTTATTAGTATAATCCTATTTTGGAAGCGTAATGCATGCTAATTCTTAATTAAAAATACACTTGATGCTGGACAAAGCGTCGTCCTGTGACTAATAAAAATGTATAGAATGTTAGGAAAGAGCAGTTTATTTACTGCTGTATTTGTTTCTGTATTTAGCATTGGTGCAGCCTCACCTTGAGTAGTGTGGGCAGTGCTGGGCCCCATAATTTAAGAAGGGTGTGAAGGTCCTCGAACGTGACCAGAGGAGGACAGCAGAGCTGGGGAAAGGGCTGGAAGAGATGTCCTGTGAAGAGCAGCTGAGGACTTTGGGCTTGTCTAGTGACCTCAGTGCTTTGTGCAGCTTCCTGAGGAGGGGACGTGGAGAGGGAGGTGCTGAGCTCTTCTCCCTGGGATCCAGTGGTAGGACGCATGGGAATGGTTCAAAGCTGCGCCAGGGAGGATTCAGAGTTGGCATTAGGATGCATTTCTTTGCCAAGAGGGTGATCAAACCCTGAAACAGGCTTCTAAGAGAGGGGGTCCCAAGCCTGTCAGTGTTTAAGAGGCATTTGGACAATGCCCTTCATAACATGCTTTATCCTGGTCAGGCACTCAGACTAGATGATCATTGCAGGTCCCTTCCAGCTGAACTATTCTAGTCCAGTCTATTCTAATGTCTGTCCTTTAGCTGCCCTTAGACCCTCAGCCAGCAGCTGTTCTGGGCATCTTTGGTCTCCCCAGTTGCTGGCATTGGGGGTCTGAGCCCCGGAGGCTGCAGCCCTGCTCCCGCTGCTGGCACAGACCCCCTTGCACACGCACAGACAGGCATCCTGCGGATCCCTCTGGTAGCTGGGCTTAGACATGGGCTCTGTCCAGTGGCTGGCTCTGGATCCTCGCTCTGCCCCGCTGCCTCACGCACAGGGAAACACACACATGCAAACGGGTCTCTCTGTTGACTTCCCAGACCCCAAGAGTTGGTCTGATACCTTATCTGCCTCTGTGCTTTTTTGTGTATGCGGAGAGGGATGTTTTTATGGGCTGATCGCTCTCCTGTCATGGGCCAAGGGACAGTGTGGTCAGAGTATTATTTGGGTTCCACTATCTGTTCTTTTTCTGTGATCTTCTGTTTGTGTAGAGAGACAAGATTTTTATCCCAGACTCTAATAAGTGGTGATCCCCAAAATCTGCCAAGGCCGTATGCTCTAGCCTGGCTCTCGCTGATGCCAGCACCCTGTCTTTGTCCCCGCAGGTGAGGAACGAGTTTTACAAGGACACACAGGGGGTCATCCTGGTCTACGATGTTGGACAAAAGGAGACGTTTGATGCACTGGATGCGTGGCTGGCTGAGATGAAGCAGGAGTTGGGCCCCCATGGGAACATGGAGAACATTGTCTTCGTTGTCTGTGCGAACAAGGTAGGTTGTGGTGGGGAGCCAGGTCCTGATCTCTGGCCCTCAGGGCTTATCATAGCATCACAGAATGGTTTGGGTGGGAAGGGACCTTAAAGCCCACCCAGTCCCACCCCCTGTCACTCCCTGCACTTGGAAGAAGTCCCCCCCAGCTTTCTTGTAGCCCCCCCTGGCACTGGAAGGGGCTCTAAGGTCTCCCTGGAGCCTTCCCTTCTCCAGGCTGAACCCCCCAACTCTCCCAGCCTGTCCCCAGGGCAGAGGGGCTCCAGCCCTTGGAGCATCTCTGGGGCCTCCTCTGGACTCCCTCCAACAACTCGCTTGTTGTGTTCCCACCCTGAGCCTAAGGTGCTGAGCTCCAGCTGTAGCAGGGGGCACTGGAGACTGCATTTCAATGTGATTTTGAGACTGTGATGGCCACATGTCAGTCAGAAAGGGATCAAGTAGAGGTGACACTGTTTCTGGACTACATCAACTCTCAAAGGCTTTTTTCACTTGCGTTTTCTATGCTTTCTTTCCACGGTACTTCCATTCCTGCAGGATAAGCAAACAGCCTCTTTAACCAGCCAGTCCCCTTACCTGTTGGATGATCGGCCTTGGAGCTGTGTTCCTCCAGCTGCCGCTGCTGAGCCTGGCTGGGCTCTGACCTCTGCCTTTTCTCCCGGTCTAGATCGACTGCGCCAAGCACCGCAGCGTGGATGAAAGCGAGGGGCGGCTCTGGGCAGAGAGCCGGGGCTTTCTGTACTTTGAGACATCTGCACAAACAGGGGAAGGAATCAACGAGATGTTTCAGGTGAGGTTTAGTGAAAGTGAAGAGGGCACAAACACCACACCAAGCCAGGATTTGATGGCACAGTGTCTCCAGAACTGCCTGGATCCCACAAAACCTCTTGGCCCTCTGCCCTACGGGTGTCTTCCCAGGGAAATGCCACCCTGAGAATGCTGTAGCTGCTTAGCTCAGGATCATTATGGCTCCTCCCAGTCCTGAGCTGGCCCTAGCATTACATTGCTCAAAGCTGGTGATCCCTCTTGCTGCACTGGGAACATGATGCAGACATGCCGGTGTCACCTTTTCAGGTCTAGCACTGAACTGAAGTAGATTTGAGATAAATGTGGGGCCTGACCTCCTCAGTCTGTCCCATGGTTCTTGCAGGGACTTGTTTCCCCCTGACCTGGGGTATCCCAGCTCCCCCCACGGGCCAGGCAGCAGGGAGTTGGATGTTCAGCAGTTGTGCAATCCCACCCTCGCGTCAGAGGATTGGCGGGCCAGCAAGGGCGGTGGGGTCTCCTGTGCCCTGCCACCACCTTTTACAGAATCCCAGACTGGTTTGGATGGGGAGGGACCTCAAAGCCCACCCAGTGCCACCCCCTGCCATGGGCAGGGACACCTTCCCCTAGACCAGGTTGCTTCGAGCCTCATCCAGCCTGGCCTTGGACACTCCCAGGGATGGGGCATCCACAGCTTCTCTGGGCAACCTGTCCCAGTGCCTCCCCACCCTCTGCGGGAAGAATTCCTTCCTGATGTTCCATCTCCATCTCCCTCTTTCCGTTTAAACCCATTACCCCTTATCCTGTCACTACAGGCCCTTGACCTTGGGACCATTCCTTCCTGCTAACTCCTCCCTATATCCACAGACTTTCTACTCTGCCATCATCGACCTGTGTGACAACGGCGGGGAGGGGGCCCCCCCCCCCCCGGGGTCAGCTTCACCAAAGAGCAGGCAGATGCCATTCGCAGGATCCGCAACAGCAAGGACAGCTGGGACATCCTGGGGGTCAAACCCGGAGCCACGAGGTGAGGGAGACTTCAGCATTTGCCTGGCTCTCCGTAGTCTTCCTGACCCCCAGGCCGCTTGCATCCGTGATTTTTAGCGACCTGCCTGCTGCCAAGCTCACTTTGGTTTATACAGCAGCCAGGCACAAGCTGTTCGTACACAAAATCAAGGAAAATGAAAGAAACCCTCGGTCCTGAGCACCAAATTTCCCCGTCTAACAGACGAGCCAGGCTGGAGGCAGAGGGGGAATGGTGAACAAAATAACTTCAGCCCTGCCAGCTGCCTGCCCTTGCATCCTGCCTCCAGGCTGAGCCGTCTCCGATCACTCACTTGCCAGACGTGGTTGGAGCAGCTCCAGCTTTACCTTCTTTGCTCTCCATGCCTGGAGAAGCTTTTAGGCTGCTGTAAGGCTACTGCCCACCTTATTAAAAAGGGATTGATGTTACAACTTTTCCACCTGGAAACAGTACTTCCACAAGGGAAGCTTTCTCTTGTCTTCCTCAGGACCTCTAGTCAGGTGGAATTGCTCACTGCCTGTGTAAGAGGTTGGATATTGAATTTCCCAGTGCTGCTGTATGACTTGGGCAGCTAAAACAAGCTCCCAGAGCTCTCCCTTGCTTTCTTCTCTGTGAAACGCGAGGCCTAGCCTTGTGTACTCCTTATGGAGGGGCTGGAGAGTGGATTTCTGGATAGCATGTATTATTTAGGACTCGTACATCCTCTGGGTGTTGAGCCTAACCCCTTCTCCATCTCCCTCTCATCCATGGGGAGAGATCAGCAGCTCCGCAGGGCAGTTTGTGCTGTGATTGCCAGCATTGATGGACTCCCCTCCCTCAGGAGGTGCCCTCTTCTCTCCACGGCCTGCAGCTAGAGCCGAGATGTCTGCCTTGGACCAGACACCCAAGGCGTAAAGGGCTGAAGCGATGTGCAATGCCTTCGCCCGGAGCGTGTGGGCGGTTTGATGCAAAGCTGAGTCAGGGTGCGTGTGCCCCCACGCTGTCTCCCAGCTTTCTGCTCTCGTGGTGCCAGAGACTCGGCATGCCGCGGCACGTGTCGCAGGCATGTGGCTGGCGTGATGGAGCATTCGTGCTGGCACAGTCCCGTGGTGGGAGGGGGTGGATCTCCCCCAGGAGAGGGATTCTCCCCCTCCTCTGCTCGTGCATGCACCCTGTGTGCGTTTCTTCAGCTCTTTTCTCCGTAGCATCGCCTCCACAACCTGGAGATCCTTGAAGCCAGTGAGGGGAGGGTTCAACAGTGCTGCTGAGCGCAGGGGTGGCTCCTGGCCTTGCTGTGCTCTGTCAGAGCTGTGCATCCTCCTGGTCCCCTCACTCTTGTCGTGTTTCCTAGGGATGAAGTGAACAAAGCCTATCGGAAGCTGGCCGTGCTGCTCCACCCGGATAAGTGCGTGGCTCCCGGCAGTGAGGACGCCTTCAAAGCGGTGGTGAACGCCCGGACCGCGCTCCTCAAAAACATCAAGTAGGGAACAGAGCCACGTAAAGTTGGAAACCTTCCCCTTTTCCCAGCTAGCTCCCTGGGCAGCCAAACAGCCATGGGGCACCCCTCTCCTCCTCACCCTTACCACTGGGATGGACACAGACGCTCCCAGTACCGGCTGTGGGATCAGGACTGTATCCGACCGTAGTGTGCTTGCGATGTGCTGGGAAGAGGGCAGAGTGCTGAGGAGGGGAGAGGGACCCCAGAGCCCTCCTTGCATCCGTGTCCTCAGGTCGTGGTTGGTGTAACTGCTGAGAGCAGTGAGGTGCCCACCTTCCCAGCCTTGTTACGCCTCCCGGGAGTTACCAGCCGTGGAGGGGTTTGGATGCATGGCTGTAACCTGTGGATGCAGCGAGGGCAGAGTGAGATCTGACCCAAAAGCTGCTGCCCCTGAGAGTGGTGATTTGGGTGGAGGATGCCCGGGGGGGGCAGTGGGTTATCCTGGAGCCACTTCTGCCAGGCTGCCCGTGCTGACAGCACTGCTGAGCACCAGGGCGGGTCAGCACCTTGGTCAAAGCTGGCTCCTTCTAGCTGACCATCAGCTGTGTTGCTTTTGGCAGTGAGGGAAAGGGCAGATTGCTTGAGGAAACTTCTGGTACTGTGGGGAGAAACTGGCTCCAGGAGTGTCCCAGTCTTCCCCAACCTGTCCCCTTCCTCCCCAAGCTGTCATGGTGCCAAGAACAGTCCCTTTGGCAGGGCTGGGGCTCTCCCCCAGGCACTCCTCTCAACACTGAGTCTCCTACCACCACCTCCTTCCATCTCCCTGAGCTTAACTCGTTGGGAAGAGCCCCTAAGGCTGCAGGTCCTCCGGCCACATGCTCCCTCCCTCCTAGCCCTCGTCTCAAGCCGTGCTGGCAAGCTGTAGGTAGATGCCACCAGCCCCCGTGGGGGACTGTCCTGGGGTGTGGGTGACCCTGGCTATTTAGAGGCAGGAGGAGGGTGCTGACCCAAGGAGGAGGCAGTTCAGCCCCCAACATAGTTGCCCATCAGCTCTTCCCTTCCCTTGGCCAGCCTCGTCTCCCGACCTTCGCCCACACGGCAGAGCTGTGGGTGCCTGCTCGCTGCCCGCTCTCGGGTTAGGGGAGCGGTGCACACCAAGCCCCATGCTCTCCCCCAACCCTTTCTCACAGCAGCACCGCGTCACCCTGCTTTGCTGGTTGTATTATGGGTTGCTGATCAGCGGGAGGCTGCGTGTTGCTCCTTCCTAGTCACAGCTGCTGTTTTCTTTGAACAGCCCTGTTGATTTAGAGGGGGGCATTGCTGCTCACCCCAACAAGCGCTTGTAGACCCTTAACATCTGGCTGTTGTGTTCCCGAGGGAGGTCAGAGCTGTGGTGGCTGCCAGGCAGAGAGCAAACAGGAGCTTCCTTGGGCTCCCGTGGCTTTGTCAGGACCAAGTTTTATTTCCCTGCTGTTGTATGAGCTTGACAGGGAAGGACAGGACACTAAGCTACAAAATGAAAACCACTGAGTGTGTGTGTGTACATGTCCTTACCTCCCCCCCCAAACACCCTGTTGAAAAGTGGTTTCTCCTATGGTCAGTGCAATATTTATTTATTTTCCCTTCAAGGCAGCTCTTCTGTGTTTTCCCTTCAAAATACATCACAAATCAACAGTAGATTCCCTCCCTTTTTGGGCAGCAAGTGTTAAGAGCCTTAAAACCAGCATCACTTTGCTCTCAACGCTGGTTTTTGGTGCTGGGAAGAAGAAATGAACTGTCCTGCTGGGAAGCACTTCTTGCTCCTCTGGTGTAGAAACAGCCATAAAACCAGCATCCTTTTGCTCTCGCTCTGGTTTCTGGTGCTGGAATGCTGGGAAGAAGAAATTAACTGTCCCGCTGGGAAGCACTTTTTGCTCCTCTGGTGTAGAAACAGCCAAGGGGGGGATGTTGCTCGAAGAGGTTAATGTTTAAAATAACTCCATGTGCCCTCTCCCAGCTGTATGAAAAGCAGGGCTGGGGGAGATTGGCGGGACAGGCATTGGAGCTGCGGCAGGTTACACTGGTGGGATCTCATTCCACGCTGTGGAGTTCACTGGGAACCTCCCTGCTTGTCTGGTGGAGGAAACCACTTCATTCTGGCTTAAAACCCATTTCTCTGTATGTTTTTTTTCTATTGGGGAGGGTCAATAACCCTGTTGCTGAATAGTGTGCTTCACCTCGAGAGTAAGATCTCCGTGTTTGGAGGAGTTTATAGCCTTCCTCACTTCCTGCTGCTCGGGGGCTGCGCCGTGCCCTGCGCCCTCCCTCCTGCTTGCTCCTGGGGTGACTCTGGCCACCGGTCTTGGGGTTTCTCGGGGACAGAGCTGACCGGACGTGTGGAGGCGATTACACACGCATGGCACGTCTGGCCGTGCCGGTGACCTTCTGAGTTGTGTTATTTTTGTAGATTAAACCCCCCTTTGGAACAAAGGAAGCCCTGTGAGCTGTCCTCCTGCGGCGACCGCCTGCTGTTAATGTTTAATTGCCCTTTGACTCATTTCTCTCCTTCCCAGTCGGGTCTGGCCGAGGCTGGTGGTGAAGAGCTGCCCTCGAGGGTGGTGATGGAGGTTGTGAATCAGCTCTACGGGAGCTGAGTAAGGGATCGAGGGAACAGTGCAGCAGGGATGGGACGTGGGATACGCTGACTGCGGTGGAGCCTGAATCGGCTCAGGGGACACAAAGGGGTAGCTCCGTCCTTGCTCCATGCACACACACCTCCGCACCAACAGCCCCGGCAGTGTGTTTCCTCCATTCCATCTCCATCAGGACCCCGAGCTCCGGATCCCTCCAGCAAGGCTGCCACCATCCAGGCTGTGTCTGGCTCACGAGTCCCTCGTGCAGAGAGCAAGTCCTGCTGCTGAAGTGTCCCTCCTGCGACAGAAGCTCCAGAGTCTGGATCCCAAACGAAGGCACTTTCCGTTCTGCACCTAGAAACGCAGCCAGGAGCCGACTCTGAAGATCTCGGGAACAGAAAGCCTCCCTCCGTGTGCCCAGGCTGCGCTCCACCTGCCTCCCAGCGCTCCGTGGAGCTGGCAGGCAGGAAGGACATGAGGATTTCTGGTCTGGCCCTGTGCCTGACAGCTACAGTCTCCTTGCTGCTGCTCCAGGCTTGTATATCCTTCAGCATTACCCCATCAGGGCCCAGGGAACGACCCTTCCCCTGAGACAGGGTGACACCCATCCCTGCCAGTGGTGGGGCCCCTGGCTGGCCTTCAGACCAGTTTTGCTGGCCTTCAGACCAGTTTTGCTGGCCTTTGGACCAGTTAACTCTCCCAGCCAGGGAGCCCTGCCTGTGACCAGCGTGGGGTGGCCTGGGCTCCCCGTGTCAGGCCTGGTGGGACATGTCCCAGGGCAGGTGGCCAGGGCTCATGTCCCAGAGCCGTGCTGAGGCTGAGCAGCCCAAGCCCCTGCCCGCACCCTGCCCGCGTGCTCCTCTTCAGCTACAGGGGGACAGGAATGACCCTCAGCACCCCCAAAACCCCTGGGGAGGGGACTGCGCCCACGGCATGGAGTTCAGAAGTGCAAGGTCCTGCACCT